CAAAGGCCCGGTTACTGGTTATTTCCATCCAGGAGCACCTCCTCCAGGGACCTGATGCAACTACCACAGCACTGCCCTGGGGAGGAGTCTGAGCTCTACAGTGGGTCTGGCTTTTTCTTTCAGGTCACTAGAGGGATTTCAAGTACTGGATGCAGCTGGAAGAGAAAATTCTCGTGGGCCCTATCAAGGTTTGGCTCCTCTTGGACTCAGACCAGCCACTTACTAGCCCCGCCTCTGAGGTTGGATGGATGCTGGGCTCAGCTGAGAGTCCTGGTTCTCCTTTACGCAAACCAGCGGTTTCCCAGCTGTGGTCCTTGCACCAGCAGCATCAGCATCACCAGGGAACCTGTTAGAAAGGCAAACTCTTGGACCCCACCCCAGACCCGCTGAACTGGAAACTCTGGGGGTGGGGCCCCACAATCTGCTTTAAGTTCTCCAGTTTGAGAACCACTTCCCAGACCACGAGGAGGCATTTTGGAGGGCAAATCTTGTGCCCCTTCACTTTGCAGAGGGGGAAAATGAAGCATTTTACAGAGAGGAGAAGGACCTGGCTCAAGTGGCACAGACAAGTAAGTGGCAATTAAGGTGGAACTGGAAGTTAGGTCATCTGTTTCCAAAATCCCCCACTCTTTGTTCTGACTCAGGCAGACCTCCCAAGTCCACCCTGACTCACTCTGTCAATGGAAGGACACCGTGATGCTAGCGACCATCAATGCAGCACTCCCTCTGTGCCAGGCACCTTGCTGCCTGCATTCGCTCATGATCCTCACTAACTCAGTGAGATGGGCATGAAGGCTAACCCCATTTTACAGAGCAGGGAACTGAGGCTAGAGAAAGTTCAGGACATTTGCTCAAGGTCACAGAGACAGAATTCAAGCCAGCTTTCTCTGCCCCCAGGGCCCATGCTGTGGTTAACAATACCACACCAAGTTGGCAGAGACCGCCACCTCCAGGGAGGGCTCTTCTCCAGTATCTACAATTCAGTTGAGAAACCAGAAAGGGGACAAAAACTCCCCGAACAGGCAAAACTATTGGCAAACAACCGGTGCCCAAAAGCTACTGCCATCTACTCATCCGAAAGCCCCTTGTCTCTTGTTTGCACACAATTGTACTGACCTGGGGTGGGGGGCAGAGCAGATGAGCAGCCGTCCACCAGCGGGGAGGTTAGTAAACACGGTTCTTGCCCATTGACCCCATCCACGCTTTCTCCGTCATTTGTGCCACAGGGCAAGGCTCCCCAACCTTCCTCGCAGCAGGGCACACGCAGAAAACCCAAATATCTGCACAGCCTCTGAGCGGTCTGGAGGGTATTGGGGGATATTTGGAAGTCTTGATGAAAATTTCATAACACACATTCCTCGTAATATATATTCAGGTTAGAAACTATAGTATTAGGGATGATATTAAGGTTCAGTTTTGTATAAAACTTCCAAATAAAACATGACGCTGGATAAAAAGGAAGACAGTGCAAAAGGCCATGTACTGTATGATTCCATCCATTTGACAGTTTGAAAAAGGCAAACCCATAGGGACAGAAGACAGATCAGTGGTTTGCAGGGGCTGGAGTGGGAGGAGGGAGCTGACTGCAGAATGGCACAGGGGAACTGAGGGGAAGACGTTTTATAATTACAGACACTCCAGACCTGCATTGCAGTGGTGGTTACATGACTGTTCACAATGCCAAAAATCAGCAAAGGAAATTTTACTGTATGTAGATTGAAAAGTAGCTCCCAAACCCATCATCTCCTCAGAATGACCTGGGGTGGTCTATTCAAAACCAGTCCGGCTTCACCAACAACCTACTGAATCAGTAGGGGAGAGGCAGGGGAGGCAGGGGAGGCAGGAATCTGCATTTTCACAAGCCCCCAGGTCAGCGGTGGTGGAGTGTGTGGTTTGAGGCCAGGACTTCTGGATCAGGATGGGATTCCAAGCTTCTAGCTCCAGGCCAGACTTGAACCCGAGTTCCAGGCTCAAGTACCAACCTGTCTCAAACTTAGTACATCTGAAAGTGACCTCCTGCCCTGGCCAGTTTGGCTCAGCGGTTAGAGTACCAGCCCGTGGAGCAAAGAGTTGCGGGTTTGATTCCAGCCAAGGGCATATACCTTAGTTTCGGTTCATCCCCAGCCCTGGCTGGGGTTGTGTGGGAGGCAGCCAATTGATGTGTCTCTCTCACATTGATGTCCCCCCCCCCCAACTCTATCTGAAGATATTTGGAAAAATATCCTCGGGTAAGGATTAAAAAAAAATTTTTTTTAATAAAAAATAATGACCTCCTGACCTGCCCCCAAACCCGCCCATAGTCTTCATTTCAATTCATGGCAGTCCCGTTGCCCAGTAATTCTGCCAAAAGCTTTGGCATCATCCCCAATTCCTCTCCTGCTCTTTCTCCCTCTTTCTTCAGTTGTCGTTTAGTTTTTATTTCATAATTATATACTTAACTCTTCAGTCTAGCTAGACTTGGAAGGGGACAAGGACAACATGGAACCCAAACCACCACAGCGAGAGCGAAGATGACAGGATGTCGTGTGCAGGGGGAGCGGGGTGTGCCCCGGGCGATGGAAGGGGTGGTCTGGTGGTGAAGATACAACAAGTCCATGTTAGCATTGTCCACCGCCAGAGTGGTGACCTGCTACTGGTCTTGTCACTCCTGAACCCAAGGTGCCCCACGGCTCCCACAGTACTGCCCTTCTCACCTTGCAAAGGCCACATGCTGGCCACGCAACCACTCGGTCCTGGCAGCGCTGATGAGTAACTGGAACTGTTTGCGTTGGTCCCGCTTTTGCCATGGACAAGATGCCATGCGCTTCGGGATGAAATTCTCATCATCCTACTTCTCCCCGTGGAGGGACTTGCTGCCACTGCCATTATGGTGTGTGAAGTCACCACCTTGGCACATGAGCCCCAGAATAAGTCTGAAAGCAGGGATCTTCATGGCCAAATCATGTCTCCCCAGTGCTCAGAGAGGAAAGTTTTCTGCTGTCTTTGGAACTTTGTCTGCAAAGAGCTCGAAGGAGACGAGGCCCGAGGGCTCGCCAGCAGTGTCCAAGAACGCGGTGGGGTCGGCCCCAGCTAGGGCAGCTCCTGGGGCGGTGGCTTTGGTGCCTGTAAAACCTCCTCTTCTCTGGAAAGTCTGTGGGCTTTACCTTCTCATCACCCTCTGTCAACAGCCTGGTGTGAGGGGCCATCATCATGTCTCGCCTAGGTTATTTGAATGGGTTCCTAACTGGTGTCCCTATTTATACCCTGAACCACCCTACATTTCATTCTCAGTACAGTAGCCAGGGGGATCATGTTAAAATATGTCATTTCTCAGTCTGAAACCCTTCAGGGGCTCCTTATCTCAGAGTAAAAGCTAAAGTGGCCTCCAGGGTCCTCTCTGCTCTGGCCTTGACCTTGGATCCATAACCTCCAGACCTTGGCTCCTCCTTGCTCACTCTGCTCCAGCCACAGTGGCCTCCCTGCTGTTGTTTTTTTTTTTTTTTTAATCCTCACCCGAGGATATTTTTCCATTTTTTGTACAGATAGAGTGGGAGGGAGAGAGAGGGAAACATCGACGTGAAGGGACACATCGAGTGGCTGCCACCCGCACGACCAACCAGGGCCGGGGACAAACTGCAACCGAGGTACATGCCCTTAGCGGGAACCGAACCCGGGTCTCTCCGGACCGCAGGCCGATGCTCTAACCGCTGAGCCAAACCGGCCAGGGCCCTGCTGTCTTTTGAACCTGCCAGTCCTGCTCCTGCCTCAGGACCTTTGTACATGCTGCTCCCTCGGCCTGGAATGGCCTTCTTTCAGATTTCCCATAGCCTGCCCCCTCACCTCCAAGTCCTTGTTCAGGTGGTAACTTCTCAGATCATTCTTGACATTCCTCCCTCATCTTTCTCCACAGCACTTACCCTCTAATATTTACTTATTTCTGTCTACCTCCCTCACTAGAATGTGAGCTCCACGAGGCATCTCTCCCTTTCTCTCTCTCTGAAATCAATGAAAACATTAAAAAAAAAAAAAAAAAAAAAAGATGAAGTCAAGGGGCTGCCACGGGAGAGGGGCTCCTCTGAAGAAAGAAACCTAGAGCTGCCTGTGCCATGGTCCTGTGCTGGGGAGCCACGGCAGCCACCTTCCACCCCTCCAGCTGCCGAGTGCAGCTACTGAGACAGCTGCGAGGCCCAGAAGCCTGACTCTGAAGGGTAAGGGGTGGGGCAGGCAGAGAAAGGCCTGTAGTTCCCAAGCAGAAGAGCAGACGCTGAGCTGCTGCTGCTGCTGCTGCTGCCCCAGAGCACAGGGACAGATTTCAAATGCTCAAGGCTTCCTTCCCTGTGGTAGGCCCCATACCAGCAGACGGTGCCCTGGCCCACGAGGTCCAGGCTCTGCACCCTAGCATTCTCCGGTGGTCACACTGATCAAGCCGGAGGGGAGCCCTGGATCTCCCCAGGCTCTTCCACCAGAGGGTTCCAGCTACCCAAGTGGAGATCCAAAGGCAGGAGACAACAGCAGCCCTGGGTCTGACCTGGGCCCACCTTGACCAGCGAGGTGAGGCCCATGACAACCATGCTAGTCCCAATGGGTGAGCTCCCACTGTGGGCCGGGCTTCTCCTCTTCCCACCTCCACTTCACCAGCCAGCAGCCGAAGAAGCCAGGTGGCCTGACTCTGACTCCAGGCTGCCCTCCCACTCTGTCTCTCCAACTGCTCATCCATAGATTCCAGACCCCGTGACAAGCAAAGAGGCTTAGCCATGAGCTAAAAATTATAAAGTGCAAACACCAGCTGGCTTTTATTGAGGGCCTACTGACTGCTGGGTCCTCGTCCCACCACCCTGCACTTCGCACTGGCCGGGGAAGGGGTGGGCCCTGGTGAGACCCAGGCTTTGAGCCAGTGGGAGATGGCCTGAGGTGGAGGTAGAAGGGGGTGGAGGGGCCCCAGCAGCTGGGTTCTCAGTGAGGGCAGGGCTCATGCATCTGCCCAGCTTGAGTCTCCCACCCTCCCTCCACCCCAGGCTGTGAGGCAAGCAAGCCCTTCCACGATGTGACCTCAGAAAAGGGGACCCATCTGATTTCTTCCCATGTAAGACGGGGCCAGAGGGCAGAGTGGCCATGCCTAAGGTGGCAGCCAGGTCTCCATTGAGTCTGTGGTCCCTGGTGGCGGCTCCTGCCAGCAATCTCCACCTCTGCTCCTGGACAGCTTTGGTCTGCTCCTGGGTACCCTCTGGTCACCACCTGGACCTGGTGGGACAGGAGAGGCAAGAGGAGAAATAGAACTAGAGTCAGACAGTGAGAGGCAGAGACAGAAAGAGACACAGATATAGTCAGAGACAGAGTCAGAGGTGAGCAGAGAGAGAGAGAGAGACACCAACAGATACGGAGAATCAGAGAGAGCCAGAGACAGACATAGAGAGAAAGAGCTAGAAGTGGATAGAGAAATGCAGACCCAGCCAGACACAAATGGAGACAAGGCCAGAGAGACAGAGAAGACAGGCTGAGGAGAAAACAGACCCAGATGCAGAGTTGGCCACAGAAGGGGAGAGAAAACTCCACACCCCACCCTCACCTAGAGCTCGTCCCTGGGGTGGGGATGGAGGCTGTGACCACTGCTGCCAGCCAGGTCCAGGCGGGGACCACGAAGGGTCTTGTGAGAGCCACTCCAGCTGATGAGGCGGCCACTGTCGTCGTCCCAGAGTGAGGATGTCTCCGTGTCACTGAGCCACTCTGCATCCCCCGCATAGTGAGTAGGTTCAGCAAGCAGGGGCCGCGCAGAGAAGGCCCGCAGGTCCCGAGGCCAGAAGTGTGCCTTATACTGCTCGCTGTGGGGTGGGAGGGCAGCTTATGAGGGCTGGGGTGAGTCCCTGCACCCAGACCTCATGCTGGCCTGGAGCCAGGCACCTTGCCTGCCCACAGTACCTCCCTGCCCTCCCCATCTAGACCTCACAACAAACGTGAGAGGCATGGTTTCTCTTAGCCCCATTTTCCAGATGAGGAAACTGAGGCCCAGAACTGGGAAGTCGTTTAACTAAAAACCACATGGCCAACAGAGCCCTGGCAGGTGTGGCTCAGCTGGTTGAGAGTTGTCCTGTGCACTGAAAGGTCGCCAGTTAGATTCCGTCAGGGCACATGCTCAGGTTGCAGGTTTGATCACAGGTCAGGGCACATGCAGGAGGCAACTGATCAATGTTTCTCTCTCACATCCATGTTTCTCTCTCTCTCTCTCGAAAATCAATAAAAACATATTAAAACCATACAGCCATATAGCCGGTTAGAGCGTCAGCCCGCAGACCGAAGAGTTGTGGGTTCAATTCCGGTCAAGGGTATGTACTTCAGTTGCAGTTCATCCCCTGCCCTGGTCGGGGTCGTGTGGGAGGCAACCAGTCAATGTCTCTCTCTCTCATATCAATGTTTCTCTCTCTCTCTCTCCCTGTCTCCCCCTCCTTCCCACTCTAACAGAAAAATATCTTCAGGTGAGGATTAAAACAAAACGAAACAAAACCCCCCACATGGCCAGCAGAGAATGCACACTTAGGGTGGTCTGACTCCAGGGCGAGGCTGGCCTCCTCAACTACTCCTTGGTGACCTGGAAGAAGTGACTCAGCCTTGCCGGCCTCCGTCTCCTTACCTGCCCAGCCAGGGGATATACTACTTGCTGAGGTGGGCCTGCCTGCCCCCACCTGAGACTCACTTGGGATGCTGGTCAAACATAATGGGCAGGAACTCGTCCACAGGCAGCATCCGGCGCAGGGGCTGGGAGGCCAGCAGCTTTCGGGCGCCCGCCAGGCTCAGGACATAGGCCAGTGTCCAGTAGGAGTACCCGGCCACCACCAGGCGTGGCAGCCCCTCCACAGCCACCTCTTCCTCAGGGTTCACCTGCTTCCGGCCGAGGTAGCTGCAGGTGACGGCAAGGATCCCAGGAGTCATCGTAGGTCCTGGCATGTCACAGAACCCTTCCCCCAAGCCCATCCTCCAGGACCAGGATGGGGGAAAGAAGGCTCCAAGCAGGAGGAGGCAGAGCCCCCAGAGGCCTGCCCCTCTCCCTTGCCCCTGGCCCAGGTGCAGGCTGCCTACATCAGATCCCATGGAAGTTTCTCTGCCTCCACCTCCTCCATCAGCCTCTCCAAACGCCTCTTGAAGTTGCTCTCAAAGCGCACATCATCCTCAAATACCACGACCCGGGCCAGGCCCCTGGCAGCCACCTGTGGTGAGAGGCAGGGTGGGGGTTGCTCTTTAGGTTTGGGCTCCCCTTCCCCCTGGCTAACACAGACGCCCTCCCTGGCCTCAGTTACATGCCAGGTACTCAGTCCTGACGACGTCACTCGGCTGCTCCAGGGCCAGGGCTTGCACTGCCTGGGGACTGAAACCCCAACGTCTCGCTCTGGCATTCAGGCCCTCCAGACCCCGGCTGGCTCTCCAAGGAGGCTCATGACGGCAATCGGAACCATGCCGCCTCCACTGAGTGCTGCTGCGCCCCAGGTGCACAGTGCCACTGCCTACTGCCAGGGACCCTCCGGGGCAGCGCACATGGTGGCCCTGTGCTGCAGTGAGGAGACTGCACAGGGAGGTGAAACCACTTGTCCCAGGATACAGACAGGAAGTGGCAGAGCCAGGATCTGAACCTGCACCTGCTGGACGCCAGGGCTCAGGTCCTCACTTCGGCCTCCTGAGCTTTCCTAAAGGAAGCTGGGCTGGGTGGGGGTGGGGAGACCCTAGCCCCAACATCCCTAAGAAAAAGCACTTTCTGTAACTTTTGGAAATGTGAACAGAACCGAACTCAGCTCAGCAAATGGTGAAATGTACATCATCTGTCAGTTTGTTCACGGACAGTGGAAAACCAATGGAAATATAAGCTCACACACATGTAGCTTGGCCACAGCAGAAAATAAAAACAAGGAGAGAATCTGTGTACTATCTTCTGGAGGGGTCACCTTGGGGGCCAGTGTCCTAGCAGTGGCCTCTCAATGGGACACAAGCCCCTGGCCCTGGATTGAGGCACCCTGAGGCCTTTCTTCTTTTCACCCCTGAATTCCCTCCTGCCTCAAGGCCTTTGCTCTTATTGTTGTTTTTTGTTTTTTGCTAAAAAGGCTCTTCTGTCAATGGCAGGCCCACGCGGACCCCAGGCCAAGCCGGAAGTCCAGGCCAGTCCACACCTTAGAGCAGCCTGTACACCCGCCTTCTGAGACAAGTGGGTTCCTTCTCGATTCCAGTGCCCTCCTCTGGGCCCTGAGCCCCAGGAGAGTGAGGGCTGCACTTTCCTTGTTCACCTTCGCATTCTCTGAGACAGTGTCTCCTAGCACACGGTAGGTGCTCAACAGAGACTAGAATGACCGAGGGGCAGGGTTGGCCACAGGAGGTTTAAAGCTGCTGGCCATCTGTTATGTATTCATGCACCACCTGCTCTCCCAGAGGGCATGGGCTGAGGGCCGAGTTCTCACCTCCTCCCAGACGGAGTAGTGGCTCAGGAAGCAGCCCACCTCGCCCTTGGTCAGCGTGCGGCCCGAGTAGGGGTCCTGGTAGCCAGGGAGCAGGTCCACACCGAGGCTCCTCATGATACTGCTGTTGAGCGTCCTGAGGGAGACAGGAATAATGGGGTGAGTGGTGCCTGCCAGGACCATCCAGGCTGCCTGGCGGTGCATGTCAGCTCAGTCACACTGGAGTCTGGTTTGAAGATGGTGTCAGCCTTGTCACTGCTTCGTGTGGCCTGAAGCCATCAGTGATTGGATCGGGGAAACTGCAGCCACCTTGGGTAGGGGTGCCCCACAGGGGAGGGGGTGGCGTGGGGAGGTGGGAGATGGCCTGAGGGGGGTGCATCCCAGGGTGAATGTGGGGCACATGGCAGAGGCCCAAGCAAAGGATGGATACTCTTCGATCAGAAGGGCTGGGGCATACGCAGCAAACAGCAACAGGCACGTGAGGCTGGCCAACCCTGGGGTCCCTGGGGAATGCTCCCACCCCACGTATCAGGGATCTCGTCCAGGGTGGAGAATAACCCTGACAGTAATCATGAAGACACCTAACCTGTGGAATACTTACTGTGTCAGACCCCAAACCCTCACAAACCCCTAAGAGGAAGACTCCATGATTCACCATTTACACAACAGGGCTGAGAGGGGCAGGTGACCTGTCAAAGTCACACAGCTGATAAGTGGCAGAGCTGGAACCTAAGCCAGGAGCTTCTGGGCCTTAACCACTGGACTCTGCTTCCTCCAGTGGGCCGAGGATGGGTGCCCTGCATGGTTCTGTCTGCTCTGGGACTCGCTGAGACAGAATTACTCAGGCCCTATTTGAATACCTTCTGGAACAGGAAACTCATTCAACTCATTCATCTGCTTTTCCCACACCAGGGAGCTCCCAGGGGCCACACTGCCCCCCAGCTGCCCAGGCCCCATCCCCAGGGAGCCTCACCGGCCATCCACAGCATCTACCACCCGCCCAGAGATCTCCATTTCCCAGAGTGAGCGCAGCATGCGCTCACGCCGGTCGGGCCTGCGGGCCAGGCTGATGACAAAGACCTGGAGAAGGCAGGAGAGGGGGCAGTGAGGAGTGGGTGCAGGGAAGAGGAGGGGGAGGGAAGGGAGGGCCCACCTCCTGACACCCCCACCTCCTGACCCCAGTCCTGCAGGCTGAGAGAACTTACCTCATCAAATCCCATCTTGGTGGGACTCTTTGGGGGCCGGGACACATGAGCCGAGGCCCACATAGGGGGCCCGTGCACTGCAGAGGAAAGCACCCTGAATTGTGAGTCCCTGTGGCTCTTGTCAGCAGTGACCCTGGAGTCCTTCCCCCCTATTCCTGCCCCTTCAGCAGAACTCCCAACAGGAAGGGTCCTCAGAGATCACAGATCCACCTGCCTCCACTGCATAGATGAGGAGGCTGAGGCCCAGCAGAGAATAGGACTTGCCTAGTCAGGGAATGAGTTAAGGTTGGGCTGGGACTCCAAGCCCAATGCTGTCAGGTCTGGGGCCTGGGAGAAGGGGCACATGGGGAGGCAGGGAGTGGTGGCAGCAGGGAGTATCTCAGCTCCCAGCCCTCACCTAGTGCCTCCAAGATCAGGTGGATGAAGTTGACCCTCTCCTCCTCCAGGTCCTGGTGGGACTTCACGGGCACGTTCATATACCCATAACGGTGCTCATTGCACACGTGAACCGAGACCCCTGCGGAGAGAGGCTGGGTGAGTGCCAGGGGCAGGGCTCTCAGAATCCAGCTGAGAGGCCCCGGGCCCAGTCCTGCCAGTGTCCCAGTGTGCGTCCTCTGAGACCCCATGTCCCCACCTGTGACATTGGTGAGAGAAAGAACTTAGCTAAAAAAAAAGAAAATCTAATGGAGCTCTCCTCTGAGGTGGTTTTATTCATTTAACAGATGTTTCGGGCCTTGGCCAGTTTGGCTCAGCGGTTAGAGCGTTGGCCTGCGGTCCACAGAGACCCGGGTTCGGTTCCCGCTAAGGGCATGTACCTCGGTTGCAGTTTGTCCCCAGCCCTGGTTGGGTTGTGTGGGTGGCAGCCACTCGAGGTGTCCCTTTCACATCGATGTTTTTCTCTCTCTCCCTCTCTCCCTCCCTCCCACTCTATCTGAACAAAAAATGGAAAAATGTCCTTGGGTGAGGATGAAAAACAAAACAAAAAACAGATGTTTCAGGAGCACCTGCTGGGTGCCAGGGCAAGCATGGTGAGCAAGACAGAGCCCGTACCCAGCCAGTGACCAGCCCTGGGCCACCACGCTGTGGAGTCACTGCTTCACGCCCTCCGTCTCTCCCCTCTGCCCAGATCCAGCCCCATCTAGCACCATCCACCACCTTTTGCCCAGATCCCTACACTCAACCTCACATTCTCTCTTGCCCCCCACTGACAGCCTTTTTATTCCTTCAAGATTTGTCACCTTTATCATATTTACTCTTTACCTTCTAAAGACCGTGAACTCTGCAGTGGTGGGCACACGGTATCTGTTTAAAGGTAACCCCATGCCCAGCATCGAGCAGAGCCTGGCCCAGAGCAGGGGCTCTCAAGCCAGGTGACAGGAGCATGAACCATGGTGACAAAACCACCGGTCACTAAACTCCTTGAAACCGCCGGCCAATTCACCATGGCTCATACTTGACGAGGTAGTAGCAACAAAAAAAGATTCTGCTGCTTCTCATTTTTTTCTCCGTGTATTTGTTTCCCTTGTTTTTCACACGTGATTCTTTTCTCCTTGCGTGTCTGCACCACAGACGCTGCCAACACCTCGTGCGCTCCAGCCCAGGACACCGCTCCTCTCTCCAGCCACTCCTGGACTAACCCGTCACCCGGCCACTGGCAGAGATCGTCCCGTCCCCGCCACCCCTCAGCCCACAGCCTGAATTACATTCTCTGCAGCCTTCTCAGAAACCTTAGCCCACACCCGTGTCTGCCTCGCTCTCACCTGCAAGTCTTCCTCAGAGCAGAATTCAGCCAGCCAAACCCAAACTCTTTCAGGTAACTCACCTTAAAATAACCACCAACACCCAGAGTGATCTTCTCAGTGTTCAAACCCACCCCGTGATCCTCTCGGCTGCCCAACACTCGCAGGCTAAAGCCCAGATGCTTGGCAGTTGAGTCCACAGTAGCTGGCCCTGCCTGCCTTTCCTGCCTCAGCGCACCAGGCCCTCCATCCCTTAACTGTGCCATCACCCGTCTTCTTGTGTCTCCTGCCACCATGGGCCTGTGCACCTGCTGGGCCTGTTGTCCGACGTGCCTTCCCGCTGTTTGCCTTGTTAATCCTGCCCATACTTTAGATCCCAAAGTCCACAACCTCCAGGAAGCTTTCCCTGATTGGACCAACTCTAGTCTAAGTCCCCAGAGCACCTACAATCAAGAAGTTCTCCTTTCCTGTCACAGTTGTGATTGGACATTGATTTATGTGCACCTTCGATTGACAGGAAGGGAGACTCCAGGAGGGCAGAACTGCCTGCTTTTACTCACTACTATCTCCCCAGTACCTGGCACATGGTAGGTGCTCCCTGAATATTTGCCTAATGAAGGAATCCACAAAAGTGCCACAATGTAGACAGCCAGAAGAAAAATCTAACCCACTGGAGTAGTGGGCTCAAGGAAGGCTATGTATGACCCAAAGGACAAACAGGAGTTAAGATTAAGTGTAGAGCCCTGGACAGTTTGGCTAAGCGGTGAGAGTGTCGGCCTGCGGTCTAGAGAGGCCCGGGTTCGGTTCCTGCTAAGGGCACGTACCTCGGTTGCAGTTTGTCCCTGGGCCTGGTTGGGTCGTGCAGGAGGCAGCCACTCGATGTGTCCCTTTCACTTTGATGTTTCTCTCTCTCTCTCTCCCTCCCAATCAATCTGAACAAGAAATGGAAAAATGTCCTCGGGTGAGGATAAAAAAAAAAAAAAAAAAAAAAGATTAAATGTAGAGCGGGAAGGGCATGCAAAGCACAGAACAGCATGTGCAAAGGCCTAGAGACTTCCAAGAAACGATCAAGGAGAGCTGTCCTCACCAGCAGCCTGGCAGGAGTAGGCGAAGACGATGATGTCATCAAAGGGCCAGGTGTAGTTGGGGTGAGGGGGGTAGAAGGCGAGCTGGGCTGCCCCCTCCGCCCGCAGGGACACCAGGAAGGTGGAGTGGACCATGGGGACCCGGAAGCAGCCCCGGCGCTGGCGGTTCTTTGTGGGGAAGTACTCAGCTGTGCGGCGGTAGTAGCCCTGGGGAAGGGGGTGCTCTGGGCAGTGAGAGGGCCCCCTCCATCCCAAGAATGCTGCTCCCGGCCATGGCACACAGACCCCAAGGCCCTCAGACTCTCTGCTGTCTGTCGGTGTCCCTCCTCCCAGAACCTCAAGCTTCCTGAGGTCCGTATTCCCGGCCTCACCTGTGGAGTAATCCCACACCAGAAATTGGAGTAGTAGGTCTGGGAGTCCAGCATGGGGGCCACCACGGGCAGTCCCTGCTCTATCAGAAGCCGCAGTGTCTGGTTGTTGGTCAGAATGTTGTCTGTATCTGCAAACTTTGAGGAGAGGGATGTCACAGACCCCAGCCTTGCCTGGGCCACAACCTCCCAGGTTGGGATCCCTCTGAATGGGATCCCTCCAGATTACCAGAGACCCAGAAGTGGCTCCCAGAATCCAATGGTAATCCCTTAGAGAGGTCTGACCTACAAATTAGTAGATCTGTTTCTGGACCAAGGATCTAGTCTAGGGCTCTGGCTCAGGGGTTGGTTCTAGAGACAAGGATTACATTGCAGACCTAAGAACTTTACCTGAGACCTGACTTAGGGAGTAGATCCGAAGACCTATTCTTTTTTTTATCCTCACCCGAGGATATTTTTCCATTTTTTTTGTACAGATAGAGTGGGAGGGAGAGAGAGAGAGAAACATCGACGTGAAGGGACACATCGAGTGGCTGCCACCCGCACGACCAACCAGGGCTGGGGACAAACTGCAACCGAAGTACGTGCCCTTAGCAGGAACCAAACCCGGGTCTCTCAGGACCGCAGGCCGACGCTCTAACCGCTGAGCCAAACTGGCCAGGGCCGAAGACCTATTCTGAGCTCTAGTTCAGGGAGCTAGGCTCATTGTATACCCTGGATCTGTCTCAGGAATTCAGGCTTAATATCTAGTCTGAGTTCAAGCATAGGGGTCCAAGCTCAATACCTTGTCTGGTTTCTGACCCAGAATGCTAGCCTACAGGAGGCTGTCACACCATTTCTGTCAGGAACAGATCTCGGCACATATGGGAAGCCCAATCCTAGGCCAGGCTTTCTTACCAGGATATAGTCTGCCCTTAAGTCCCTGGCAAAAGTCAGGGCTTCCTGCTTCAACTCCATCAGAAACTGGTGTCTTTCTTTGGTCCAGTGCTTGGGACCCTCTTCGTCTGGGTAGGACCTGAGGGGTAAAGAGATGAGATGTTCCCATGGGGGAGGTGCCTGTGCCTCTGCAGGGCGGTGGACGGAGCCCCGGCCTGCAGGCTGCGGTTTGGGCTGCCACTTTTCCTCTCTGGTTGCAGCTGTTGCCTATCTTCCCCCTAGATCACCACCTGGGCTCTCCCTCGGGCCTCCACACCACGGCTGCATAGTCATTGCCCACAGCGGCCAGCCACTCCTGCAGCATCTCTGTGGTGTTGTCTACATTATGGTCCGTGGCACACCTGAGGACAAAGGAGGAAGGGTGAGGGGTGCAGCCACAGGAGGACCAAACCCCGAGGCGGCCTTGACCCCGGAGCCACACCCCCCGTGAGGCTGACTTCTCTAGGAGCAGTGGCAGTAGGTATGTTACAGAGAAGGGGCTGAAAGCAGGCAGCCAAGTCCCCATGACAGATCTGTGACCCCACTGTGTGACCTAAGGCAAGTCCCGTCCCCCTCTGGGCTTCACTTTCTTCCTCTAGAACTATAAGATGACCTGCCAGGGCTGGAACCAGCCCAGCAAGCTGAGATAACAGAACTCGAGCGCATTTTGAAAGATGAAAAGTACCTCAGTTTTGAAGAACACACCTGCCACATTGCCTGGTTACCTTCCTTCCTTGCTGTGTGACCACAGGTTAGCCCCTTCCCGAGTCAGGACTGGACAGAAGAGCTGACGCTTCTCTCTGCCCAGAGGTTGTAATAAGGACCAAACCACACTGAGTGTCCCTAAGAAGTGCTGATGGGCCCAAGCTCAGTTGACACAAAACATAGCTTCTCCTCTCCTGTGCAAGGGGCTCCCATGACTGAGTGGGGGTAGGAGGTTCAGCGAAGAGCCCAGGTTTTAGGTGACACTGTCCCTTTAAACCAATTCCCCAGAAATGAAGACTAACTACGTGTCAAGTCCCGTAGGGGTGGGATCTAAGAACTCCCAAACTGTGGTAATTGTGGGCAGCCTCCCCAGGCCACAGCTCCACCCCCAAGTTTGGTGTGTTGTGAGGGGTAGTTTGTCATTTCTCCCGTTTTATCCCCAACCTCAGCTTGAGACTCCTTCCTGTTCTGGCTGCCACAGATTGTGGCCTCTGAATCCAGTGCCTTGTGGGGACGCCTGAGGGTGGGATACCAGAGAGGGGGCACTGCCACGAGCTGGCAGGACCAGCCCTCTACAGGGTCTGGAACCAGCCTAGTGGGAGTGGGAGCAGGTGTGACTCCCCTGCAGAGCAGCCTGGAGCCCAGAGCTGACAGCACCCCGCTGCTACCCAGGAACCCCCAGTGCTGCTGATCCCTGCCACCTCAGCCCCCAGGGGACGCCACCTATTCCTGTCTGCTCCACTCCAAATCATGCCAACTACAGGTCCCACGGGGCTGAGTTTGGGCACTGACAGCAAGAGGGGCTGGGCCCAACTTACACCCTGAGGAGGTAGTAAGAGAAGTGAGCGCCAGGGTGGGTGTCCTAGGGTCGACCTAAGGCCTCAGAGGTCAGTCTGCACGGCCAGGGGGTTACCAGGTCCTGCCTGGGGCTGTGGGCTGTGGAGGGCCTGTCTGCCAGGGGAGGAGCCTGTCTGGGTGGTGTCTGGACAGGGAGCAGATGGCCCATCTTGGGCTGGGGGCTGATGCCCAGTAGGTGGGTGCCAATGCCTGGGTCTCTCTCACCAGAGGGCCAGCCGGGCCCGAGGGTAGTCCAGACGCTCCAGCGCGCCCAGGTAGTGGGGTAGCGAGTGCTCAGCATTGCGGGCCAGGATGGCAAGGACCACGGCAGGCGGCGGTGGCGGCGGCGGCTCCGCGATGCCGGTAACCTGGAGCCGGGGTCCCAGCAGGAGCAGCAGCTGGAGCAGCGGGGCGGCGTGAGCAGTGCGCATGGCGAGCTCCAGCGGTGGCGGCGGCCCCCGGGGCTCCCGGCCCGCGAGGGGAGTGGGCAGCGTGGCTGGGCCGGGGCGGGGCCCGGGGCGGGTGGGGCCGAGAGAGCCCAGAGGAGAATGAGGGTAATGTATCCCCCCAAAGTGGGCCCCCACTCCTCACCCCTATACGGGGATTTTCAAATGTCCTCTGTTGGGCCAGGGCCCCGAGAGCCGCCCCAGACGCAACCCCGGAGCAGCCCCCTCCGGGCTAGACGCCGGAGGGGGTGGGGGGAGGAGGGGAGGGTCGGGGGTGACGGCATCCGAGCCTTCCCGACGGCGTCTGCGAAGCTGCGCTCCAAATCCCTGAGCGTGCAGTCCCCCAAACCCGGCTTCACCGATTGCCCGACGCCCCTGAATCCGGATTCCTCGGCTCAATGTCGGATCCTCGGACCTCAGCCACCCACCCCGCGGGTAGGACAGACTCCTCACGGCCCTTCCCGGGTTCCTCGGCCCCGCCCCCGCCGCCCCCGGCGCCCCCTGGCGGGCCCAGACGGAACTTCGCAGAGCAGGAGGAACGCGTGGGCCTGAAATCGAGTCCCGCTTGACGGGTGCGGAGGGGTCCGCCTGACCTGGGCGCGCCATCCTGCTGCGGTCCGAGCTTGGTGTCCCCCGCGCGTCGTCGTCCTCGCCTCTGTCGCCGGTACCAGCACAGCTTCGATCCTTTGAGAGAGAAAAGTCCACTCTTAGACTGCGTGCAGAACTAGGAGGCACCACACAGCCCCTCAGGGTGTCTCAGCCCCTTTCAGAGCAGGGGATACAATCTCCCCGGGGGCAGAATTGGGGTTCTGGTCCCGGCTGAGATGGAAAGGGGTCTCCGGGCTCTCTTAGGAGAAGGCAGGAAAGGAGAGGGGCCTGGAGGCCCCAGTGGTAGGTTCCAGCTGACATCTGTCACCCACCGGAGGCAGGCAGGCCGGCCGCTTTCCCTGAACCTCAGGTCCTCATCTGGGTGGGGTTGCAAGGACACCTTGAAGCTTTTTGAGCCTGGCCCCAGGAAGAATTTCTGGGGCTGGAGGACAGGACTGGAGAAGCAGCCAGGCTCCCCTTACATTCACCACCCCCACCCACGCACCAGGAAAGCCTACGTTCCTATGACACCTTTGGGTCTCCCTTCAGCCTCTTCCCCGGGTCAGGGAGGAAGGCTAAGCCTGCGCACACTGTGTCCACTGAGAGGGGAAGGGGTGGGGCCCAGCAGGGAATGGACTTGCCTAGTGATGGGGCAGGATGTGGAGGCATTGAACCCTGGAGTCCAGGTCTCCAGCCTGGCCCCAAGGCCTCCACCAGACCCCGTCAGAGCTTCCTTCCCGGTGGGACCACTTCCCGGCCAGTGGCCCTGCAGTGGAAGGCCTAAGGCCTCTCCCTGCCACTTTCTGGAGAAAATAGAAGCCATCACCTGGGAACTCTCATTTCCAGCCTCCAAACCTTCCATCTCCTGCCCTAAGCCGGCCTCTGCTCTCACCATCTGGTACAATGGAAGAGGCATCCTTTCCTCATGACATAACCACCCCTGGGCTCCAAAGGCCATCCCCTTGGCCTTCCTGGATCACTAACCTCCCTCTCTTCTGGATCCTAACTTCACATTCCAAAGGACTTCAATTTCTCTCAACTTAAAATACAAAACACCAAGCTGCCTGCCGGCCCTAGCTGCTGCCCTACCTCTCTTCCCTTCCAAACTTCTTGAAGGGGAATCTGCTCTGCTCTGTTTTATTTCCTCATCTCCGTTAAGAACTTGACACAGGCCAAGGCTGCTCCAGCAAAACTGCTCTTGCCAAGACCAGCATTCTCCTGGCCACTCCCCCCAGTGAACACGTCCTCATCCAAGAGGGGTCTCTTGAGCAGCTGACTACGTGGACTTCTTACTTCCCATTTCTGGAAAACTGACATGTGTCTCTACGGCCCACCTAGACCCAAATTCCATCTGTCCAAAACAGAACCTCAGTCTTTTCCCCAAACCTGCTCCCCCTCTGATGGCCTCCCAACTCTTGGGAATGATACTTCCACCCACGGAGTCCCTCAAGCTGGAGACCTGGGTGTCACTGATCACAAGCCCCTCTCTCAGCCCAATCCATCACCTCGTCCTGGCAAGACCACCTCCTCAACATCTCCTGCACGTGGCCACCTCTTTACTTTTTACTCGCTTGGCTCGGCATCAGCACCACTCACCTTCCCCTGCACCTCCCAGGCTTTCTCCCTGGCGACCATTCTGCACTCCTTTCTTTTTTTTTTTTTAATCCTCATCCAAGGATATTTTTCCATTTTTTTTTCTTTTTTTTTTCTCCTCACCCGAGGACATTCTTCCACTTTTTGTTCAGGTAGAGTGGGAGGGAGAGAGGGGAACAGAGAGAGAGAGAGAAACATCGATGTGAAAGGAACACATCGAGTGGCTGCCACCTGCACAACCGACCAGGGCCGGGGACAAACTGCAACCGAGGTACGCGCCCTTAGCGGGAACCGAACCCGGGTCTCCCAGGACCGCAGGCCGACGCTCTAACCGCTGAGCCAAACCAGCCAGGGCTCCATTTTTTTTTTTGTACAGATAGAGTGGGAGGGAGAGAGAGGAAGGGAGAGAGAGAGAGAGAAACATCGACGTGAAGGGACACATCGAGTGGCTGCCACCCGCACGACCAACCAGGGCCGGGACAAACTGCAACCGAGGCACGCGTGCCCTTAGCGGGAACCGAACCCGGGACTCTCCGGACCGCAGGCCGACGCTCTAACCGCTGAGCCAATCTGGCCAGGGCTGCACTCCTTTCTAAAATGCCTGACATTAACACCCTTGATGGAGTGGGAGGGCTGCCTATTGCCCTCAGCAAAACTCAAACCCCTCAAGGGGCAATGAGGCCCTGCATGACTCCTCAACTCCTCTGGCCTCTCCTCACCCAGTCTTCTGCTCCAGCCAAACTGGACTATGTACAATTTCCAGAACACTTAATGCTTTAGGACCTTCCCGCATCCTTTCTTGTTCCTCTGCTTGGACTAGTCTTTCTAGTCAACTCCTACAGGCCCTCCAGTCTCAGCTTAAACTTCATTCCTCTGGAAAGCCTTCCCCATGTCATGTCTAAGGGACATACCCCTACATGGCATCCTGTATAACCCCATTCATTCAAGTGTTTATGGAACACATGCTAGGTGCAAGCAGAACTCTAGGTACTGGGGTGCCCAAGACAAACCATTCTGTTCCTCGGGCACTCACATTCTGGTAAGAAGGGACAGACAGGAAACAACAGCTGATAAACTAATAGTTTCAAAGAACAGTAATGCTATGAACAAAATAAAACAAATTGATAAGAACAGAGAGCAGCTGAGGGTGGGAGGTAATGTTGACATCACAGAGCATAAGGGGAGCCAGCCAAGGGCGGTTCTGGAGGAACGGTGTTCAATGTGGAGGGAGCAGGCGGGGCCAATGTCCTGTGGTGGGAACAAGCCAGGGGGCCTGGGTGGTTGGAGTGAAGTGAGCCAGGTGAGAGATGAGGACCATCTAGGGCCTTGAAGCCACTGCAGGTGTTTGAATTTTTTAAAAGTACAATGAGAAGACATTGTCAAGGATAACCAAAAGAGTGAAATGATTTGTCTTTAAAAGACTGTGATAGCTCAGCCAGTGTGGCCCAGTAGATTGAGCATGGTCCCATGGACTGAGAGGTCCCTTAGATTCTCAGTCAGGGCACATGCACGGGTTTCAGACTCGATCCCCAGCAGGGGGCATGCAGGAGGCAGCCAATCGATGTTTCTCTCTCTCTTTCCCTTCCTTGCTCTCTAAAAAAATCAATAAAAACATTTTTACTTTTATTGATTTTAGAGCGAGAGGAAGAGAGAGAGAGAGAAATAGAAACACTGATGAGAGAACATCGATTGGCCTGCAGGCCCCCCACTGGGGATCTGGCCCACAATCTGGCCATGTGCCCTGACCAGGAATTGAACCGGTGACATTTTGGTGCATGGGATGCTCAACCACTGAGCCACATCGGCCGGGCAATAAAAACATATTTTAAAATAAATAAATAAATAGACCTGGCTGGTTTGGCTCAGTGGTTAGAGTGTCGGCCCAGGGACCAATGAGTCATGGGTTTGATTCTGGTCAAGGGCACATACCTTGGTTGTGGTTCGTCCATAGCCCTGGTCTGGGTCGTGTTGGAGGCAACCAGTCAATGCATTCCTCTGACATCAATGTCTCTCTCTCTCCCCACCTTCCACTCTATCTGAAGATAAATAGAAAACTATCCTCAGGTGAGGATTTTAAAAATTAAATAAATAAATAAATTTTAAAAGGACTGCCATGGCTGCAGCTCGGAGGGTGGACCACGGGGGCAAGAAAGGAAGCCGGGAGACTCTCGTGCGGTGAGAGATGACGGTGGGCAGGATTGAGGTGTGTAACAGGTTTAGAAATCAGGATGACCTACAGGGCTGGCAACCGAGCTGGACAGTGGGCTAGTTACTGAACGGGGGAGACCTAAGAAGGTGAAATATAAATTGGGTTCTCTTTGGGGCTGTATTTTGAACTGCCTTTTAAACTTCCAGGTGGAAAGATCACATGCCAGACCTGCTTGGCTGTGAGCTCGGAGGCAGGGACCTGTCCGCCTCCACTACCATTTTATCCCCAGCCCTGGAGCAGGGCCAGCCAGGCAACAGAAAGATGATGTCACCGTGTAGGTGGCCCGATCAAGCACCTGTACTCCCATTTACACTTTCTTTTTTTTTTTGCTCCAAAATAGATAATGACATAGTCTACAAAGGTAACATTGGGCCAAATTCACAGCATTTCTAAAGTAGTGGTTCTCAAGCATGGTCCCTGGATCAGCCAGCAGCAACCCCACCAGAAAACTGTTACTAGTGCAAATTCCTAAGCCCCACCCCACACCTAACGGATCAAAAATTCTGGGAGTGGAGGTTAAACCAATGAGCTTCCTGGTGATTTTGAAGCAAGCTAAGCTGTTCTATGGGGCCTAAGGCCTCGTTTTCCAGGTCATGTAGGATACATACCTAGAAACAACACTTGGGCCCATCTGTCTGAATAGGACACAGAGCATCCCGGACCAACATCTAGCTGAGCTCGGGGTTTCTCCTCCCACAGCATCTTCACTCCCATCCCTCAGCCGCTGTAATTCTGACCAAGGCCAGGGGGTGGCGCCAGCACCTTAGGCTTCACTCCGGCATCAGGAAATAAAGACCCCAGAAGAAATGTCCCCCTCCCCAGTCCTTCTTCCTGCTGGGAGCCTCAACTCCAAGGTCTGCCCACTGGCAAAGGCTCTGCAGGGTGGCCTTCACAGGAAGAGGAGCAGCCCTGAGGTTGGCACACCGCAGGTGGGGTCAGCCCCCTCATCTTGAAGGTTAGGAAGGTGGGCTAGAGGACACCCCTTGGTCAGAGAGAAATTAGGGGTGTCTGGCCTGTGGGACTTGGGGGTCAAGAGCCAGGCAGGGGGCTCTTGTCTAGTGGACTCTGGCCACACTCCCATTAACCCTTTGCCTACCAAACCTCATGTGAGGTCTCAGGTGCCATTTCCCTGCCAGTGGGTGGGGGCAGCCTGGAGGTACCCCAGGGCCCAAACAGAGCCCCCAGGTTGGGGTTCCCAAGCGGACTGCAAGCGGGGCCCACAACTGAGAGGATGCTTGGATGGAGCTCTTTCTTACCAGCTGCCAGCTTCACGTCGCCTGGGTTGGGGGCTCTCTGGGCCCCTGTCCTGCTTTGTGGTCAAGAGAACCCAAGATCCTGGCCAGAGGAAGAGCCCACACCCCACTTCTGGTCCTGGGTGCAGCTCAGCAGATAGGATTCTAGGAGCCGCGCCTGGGCTCCCTCCCACCTCAGGTTCCAAGCTCAGTTCCCAAAGGACCCAGGACTGAGCACAGACTTGCCCCCCATCTGCTCCCCTGCCCCTCATCTTTGCTCTTTGAGGGGAGACAGAGTTCCCCAGGTCCTGCTGGAGTCACCCTGTTCTCTCCGCTTAGACCTAGCATACCTTGGCCTCTGCTCTAGGAATCTGCCTACGCACCCTCATCTCCTAGTCCCACCCAACACCCACACCCACTCCAAAGGACTCCCTCTTGGCCAGGCCTTCCTCTCCCAGGCCCCACGATGTGGAGTGTCCTCTGAGGCTCTGCCTCGTCCTCAGGAGGCTGGGGCCAGGCCAGCTGTTTTTCCCGGGCAGCCAGCTGTTTTGCCCATCAGGAAGCAGCCCTGGCTCCTCTGCTAAAACTGTTGCTGCGGCTGGGCTGCGGCGTGGCAGCCTGGCTGGGCCAGGGCCTGGGAGCTGTTAACTCCTCTGGGCCCAGGCAGCCCCTTCCCCTCCCGCTGTCCCTTCTGCCTCCACCCTGACCCGCAGGAGTCTCCAGTCACAAGACTTACAGAGACCCCCACGACAACCAAGCACTGCCCAACCCCATCAACAATGGCTAACTCTCCCCCCTTAACAGAGCCTTGGCCTCAGGTGACCCCAGGTGAGAGGAAGGTTTGGAGGGGTAAATGGTACCCCATTTGGGACAATGACAATAACAGCTATCATTAAATGACTGCGGTGTGCCAGGCACAGTGCTAAGTGCTTTTAAATGTATATCTTACTTATTTTCACAACAACCCCGTGAAGTAGGGAATGTTTTCATTTTACAGATGAGGAAACTGAGGTATGAGACCCTAAGTCAGTCAGCCAAGCCCACACTGAGCTGGGGTTTGAAAATGGGCTGCCCACCCTTCTCTGGCCGGCCCTGGGGCCTCCGGAATCACTGTTGGTGGCGTTACGTTTCCCCAGCTCTGTGCTCCAGGCTATCTCCCTAGCCTGGGCCTCAGTAGCACCAACTGTGAAATGGGGAAACTGAGGGCTGTGATTGACGCCACCACCAGCTCCCATAGGCCGAGTGCGGAGCTGTGTCAGACTCGAGTTCAACACCTTCCAAGTATTTATTAGGGATCACTCCTCCCGATGGCGGCGGTCAGCCTGGGCTGGGATCCCGGCTCTGCTGCTTCCTGGCAGCCTGACTCTGGACAAGACACGTTACCTCTCAGTCTGTGTCCAAAGCTGGAAAATGGAAATAAGAATGGCACCCACTGCACCCCCAATTCTGTTGTGAAAAGGATGAGATGACAGGAACACTGGTTAGCAGGGTACCCAACACGGAGAAAGTGGGTGAGACTGTTACCCCTTACTACTATGACCATTAACCACAATCTGCAAGGATCGGAGTGGCACGGAGCTGGCACACAGGAGGGCTCTGTGGCTACTCTGTAAATGAACGAACCCTGGCACAGTGCTACCTACGTGGGGACAGCAGGCGGAGACAGGGGCACAGCTTGCTCAAGAGCCCAGTTTCCAGGTGGAGCCCTGCCTTAACTCCTGTACCCCTACGGCCTCCCATCCTGAGGCTGGACCCTGGTCTGGTGGAAGGGGAGGAGGGACAAGGGAACAGGGACAATCCCAGGGCTGAGACAGCCCAGAAGGTGACTGGGCTGTGGCTGGGTGGGATCTCAGGGTCTGGGAATGACCCCTCAGGATGCAGCGACCCGTGCTCTCCCGCTTTGTACCCTCCCCCCTGCCCACCATGGGTCAGCTCCCTGGTCCCAGCCTAGACATCTGGAACTGGGGCAGACAAAGGGCTGCAAGGAGGGACAATAACCTTCTGTCCATTTTCAGATGCTGGGCCGGGCCTGGCCAGGGCTGGGGGCCGGAGCCCCAGCGAGGCGGTGCCAGGCCCCCCGTGGGCAGCGGACAATGTTGGCAGTGATGGAGAGGAGGCATTTCAAAGTGTTTTGTTCCCACTGACCCCCTCCCTGCCACATCTCGACCCAGCTCGGGGTGAGGCCTCGGCCCCACCCCCAGCCACCCAGGCCCCTGCTCCAGGGCAGCTTGGGGACTGGCCACATTCTTGACCTCAGGGGAAAAGTTTAGACTCTTTGCGCCCTGGGCAACAATAACAGTGTCACAGAACTGATTTAGGAGCAGCACTTACCATCACAAAGCGACAGACAAAGAGCCAGGGCTGAGAACGGGGGACTCGGCCTACTGCTCCGAGCTCTGCGCACTCCCCTGGGCTCTGCCTGGGCTGGACTGGGTGCTGAGCCTGAACCTGGGCACACCAGAGCACTGCAGGTGGGGACGGAGCGAAGCAGGAGAGATGGGGATCTAAGTGGGAATTGGGGGAGGGGCTGAGAACTGCCTTCTGCTCCGCCGCCAATTAGCTGTGTGACCCCAACAGAGTTCCCCACTCTGGGCCTCCGCTTCACTATCTGTAATAAGGAGGCTAAACTCTAAGGCCAAAGGTGGAGGCGCTGACCTTGCAGGCAGAAGTGTGTCAGTGATGATGATGATGATGGTGATAAGTATTTACTGCTTCCTTCTGAGCACATCACAGGCACCAGGCACTGTGATCACTAACCCTTTTCTGGCCTTCATCCTTTTTTAACTAGGATGGTGGGCACTCAGATGGCATCTTCTCCCTCTTACTCTCCCAAAGAAAAAGAAGGATTGATTATCAGTGGCAAATGACGGCTGCAGAAGCAACGCCAAGAGCCAGCTTCACACTCAGGAGAGAACGCTGAACCTCCTCCTCGAGGTGTCCAGAGCGCTGTGTTCAGAGAAACTTCTCTCGTAACTATGTAGAGATGATTCCTGAAAGTAGTCTTCTCACCCCCCTTTAACATTCAATCCTCATCAACCTCACAAAGATGGTGTATCATTAACCCCAGTTTACAGTTGATAACTGAGGCTCAGACGAGCTGAGTCACTTGTCCAGGCCCACACAGCTTGAAGGTTGTGGAGCCGAGACATGGGCAAGGCTGGCTCACTTCTGATTATACTGCAGGGAAGGAGAGGTAAGGAGGCAGCTGGACCCTGGTGAGTTCTGGGTGGGAGGGCCTCTTCTCCCAGCCAGAAAGCTATGAATAAATAAATGTCTGATCACCCCCAGGGGGAATTCCACCCTTGGAGCAGGTGCCTTTAGAAACTAGATTGGTTCTTGTCCATGAGCAGAGGTTGGCCTGGGCAGACACCCAGATGCAGGGGATTGGACACAAGAACCTCTAGTGGAGACCTCTTAAAGGCAGGATAGAGAACATTTAAGGACCCAGGGCTCTGGAGCTAGGCTATGGGAAAGCCAACTGGATTTTTCTTGGTAGTTTGTCCATGGGCCAGTTATCTCAACATTCTGTGCCTCAGTTTTCCAATCTGTACAATTGAACCCACTTACAGGAGTGTGGTGCCCATTCGGTGAAGTACATGGAAGGCCTGAACAGCATCTGACTTGGTTTTTATTCGGCAAGGCCCTCCCAGCCAGGACACCTCAAGGTGGGCACTTCGGGGACGCTGTGGCATAGCTAGCCATTGACCTTACTTTTCAGGAAGTGGTTGGATTTTGATTACAGCATGAGGGACTATGGTTAGACACTGAGAACAAAGCGGGGCCTGTTTGGATCTATAAGGCAAGGACCAACCACGGCTTCCCAGAGACAGTTAAAGGAGACTGTGGCTTCCCTGGTGCCTGAGCAGGATTGCTCGGCCCTGGACATGGTGAATGGAGAAAGAACAGAAAGAGGAGGCCCTGGGAGGTGCTGTCCAGAGTCTTCCCCATCCCTTAAATCCACAGGGACCAACCTGTGTGTGGAGGGGGGAGGAGAGGTGGCCAGGCACAAACAGTACTGCCGTCGGTATCTTCAGGGCCTGGTGGGTTCAAGTCCTAGCTCTGCCAGCTGGCTGTCACCTAGGATGAGTTGCTAACCCTCTTGAGCTCAGTCCAGACATCTTTCAGAACCAAAGTGCTCAAGGAGACTATGATGGAATCTGGGGTTCCCCATGTCTAGTCCAGAAATTGGCTTGAGTCCAGGAGTCCTGCTCTGCAGATGCCCCCCTCGTGTCTCCCTTCATTCTGACTTTACCTCGTTTCTCGAACCATCCTTTTGGTTCTTCATCAAACTGCCAGTGTCACATGCACCTCAGACAGAGGGCAAGACAGTCCAGTGGAAAATGTTGCAGATTCTCAGGAACTCGCAGAGTGTGGGGGTCCCAGGGAGCCCAATAAGGACAGCCTCACCCGCCCTCATTGCCTACCTGTGGGGCCAGAGTAGCACTCACCTGGGCAGAGCACCTTGGGGTCCCCCTTGCTCCAGGGAAGTGGATGGCATTGCAGGGCCCGGCTCCGGCACAGGGTGACTTCCCCACCTAGGTTCTGCTTCTGAGAAGGGCTGGGCAGGCAGGCCCTCAGGTGCCAGACAGCCCTTCCTGGGCACAGACTTTTCTGGCATCTGCTGGGCAAGAAAGCTTAGGGTGGGGCAGTGGGGCAGGGAACCAGTGAAGGTGTCTCTTACAGAATTTGTCCCCAGGCCGTAAACCCACTCCTTTTCTGAACACCGTGGGGCAAAGGTCCAGGAAGCCATGGGCCCTCTGGGGCCAGGAGAAGAGTGATCGTGGGAGGCTGAGATGAGCCCGGGGCCCCTGCCCCATCCTGTCCCCCCTAGCCCCCCCTGCCCCAACAGGCCAGCGTGGCCCAGGCTGCGGTGTTTGCTTTTCCTGTCTCTACACTGACTCCATTCAGAGCTGCCTTCTCCACCCCCAGCCAGTGAGCCAGGGCACCAGGGAGAGAGATCACCACCCCCACCCTCCTTCCTTCACAGCCCCTCCTGTTAGCTTCAAGGGCTTCCTAGGGTTTTTTGGGGGGAGTACACAGGAGTAGCAGGACTAGGGAAGAGGGGCCCACCCCAGAGGAGAGGGCCAGAGGGAAAGCAAATGAAGAGGGTGGTGGGAAGAGGAGTGTGAAGCGAGGTGGGGAAAACTGTGGGATGTACAGGGACTGGCGGAGACCAGGGCTCCTAATGGAGGAGGCCCAGGCAGAGGTGGGCTGGGCAGATGGGGCACACATGGGGAGCCACAGGGCAGAGGCTGGCACAGGAGGCAGGGAACGCTTTCCAGGGTGACCCAGGGCTCCAGCCTGGCTCTGTGCCATCAAAGCAGGCAGGGCCTGAGTGGACCCTGAGGCTGGAGGACAACTCCCACCTGAAAACCGGCCTCCTCCTCATCCCTGGGATAGGGTCCTGGCAGGGCTGTGACCTGATCTGGGGCCGGGGGAGGAGGAGGGTGAAAAGTTCCCCCAAGTCAGAAGGCCATGGGGGAGGCACCCGAGGGGGTCCTGCTCTTTGCTCTCTCTGACTGTCACGTTGGTACATAAAGGGGGTAGAAAGGTCAGATGTGGCCTTTCAGGCCCGTGGGAAAAACTCTGCCCATTTCCCTAATCCATATTTATTGGTGTGAGACACTGGGGTGGAGGAAGCCCCCCGCTCCCCCACCACCCCAGCCAGGCCAGGTTAGCACTAAGAACAGGCTCCATGTCACCCAAATCCTACTCTTTGTCTCCAGATTGGCTCCAGAGTCCTCCCCCTTCCCTCCTCCCTTTTGCTCCCCCCATCCCCTTTGGGGTTGCCAAGCAACTGTGGAAGGGTAGCTGAAATATTTTCTTTATTACAAGCAAAAGCAAGACAGCATCATGGCCCCAGGAGGGAGCAGGGTGGGGGGTGGGGGAGAGGGCATCCTGTGCTCTGGGGGAACCTTGATACCTCAGTGTGCCCGGGCACGAGCAGTGTGAAGACAGGGCTCGGAGCCCAGGAGAAGGAGAAGGTAGAAGGGGGAACCGAGTGGTGGTGATGGGGTGGGTGGGCGCACAGACACTGACCAGTCTGCATGATGCTGAAAGAGGCAGTGCCAAAGAAATCCCGGCCCCAGTAGTCCACCTGTCACCCACCAGCTGAGCATTCTGGGCCAAGTCACTTCCCTCCTCTGGGCCTAAGACAGGGATAATGGCATGTATTATCTCATTTAATGCTCACATGAACCCCACGAAACATTTATTTTTCCCTTTTATTGGTTAGAATGCTGAGCCTGGGAGGCATGAAGTGATGTGCCTAGCAGATAAGGGGCAGAGGTGAGATTCTTGAGCCCAAACATGTTCGTGGTTTTTTTTTTTTTTGTAATCTTCACTCAAGGACACTCTTCCACTGATCTTTAGACACAGTGGGAGGGAGGGAGAGAGAGAAACATCGATGTAAGAGAGACACATCGACCAGCTGCCTTCCACACGACCCCAACCAGGGCCGGGGACAAACTGCAACCAAGGTACGTGCGCTTGACCGGAATTAAACCCACGACCCTTTGGTCCACAGGCCGATGCTCTAACCGCTGTGCCAAACTGGCTAGGGCTCCAAACTCTTTAATATCAGTTTTACTGAGATGTAGTTCACATACCATGCAATTTTCCCATTTAAAATGGACAATTTAATACAACCATGGTGCATTCACACTGTACAACCATTGCCACAATCAGTTTTAGAACATTTTCATCGCCCCCCCAAAGAAACTCTGTACTCATTAGCCTTCACCCATGTCCCCCGACTTCCCCTCCCTCCAGCCCTAGGCAACCACTGATCTATTTTCTGTCTCTATAGATTTTCCTATTCTGGATATTTCTATTAACAGAAACAGACAGCCCGGCTGGTGTGGCTCAGTGGTTGGGCGTCAACCATGCATCAAGAGGTCGCGGTTCCATTCCCGGTCAGGGCACATGCCCAGGTTGTGGGCCTGATCCCCAGTGTGGGGCATGTAGGAGGTGGCTGGTCAATGTTCTCTCTCATCGATGTCTCTCTCTCCCCCCTTCCCTCCCTCCCTCTCTAAAAATCAATAAAGAAAAAAAAATTAAAACAAGACAAAACAAAACAAAATAAGACAATATGTCTGAGTCCCAACTCTTAACTTCCAATGGCTTTGACCTCACTGGGTGCTGGGGTAACAGAGAGAGGTGTCAGCAGGTGGCATGGTTAAGGACATGAGCTTCACTGTCTAAAACCTGGCTCTGTCACTCACTGGCTCTGTTCCTTTCTCTGAGCCTCAGGTCCCTGGTCTGCAAAATCGGAAGTGTAATGGCATTTCTCACAAAGCTACAGTGATCCACCCAAGTGCTAGCCCAGATCCCGATATAAGGCATTGTTAACTGGATTACAATGATCCGTGTATCCGCCTTTCTATTTATCTCTTCACCCGGGCATTTATTAAAAGCTAGCACCTTCTAAGGATCAGGCATTGTTCTAGGTGCTATGAACAGGATGTGATCCCTGCCCACACAGGGCTGACACTCTGGTGGAGAGACCAGTAAGACAGCCAGTCAACTGGAGGTTTTCAGACAGTGAAATGTGCAATGCAGATAACAGCACAGCATCATGGGACAAAGCTGCCCAGGTTGGTGGAGGTTCCTGCTTCAGTTTGAAAGGCTGCCCTTCCCTGCCCTCACCTACCTCATGGAGAGGAACATCTTTTATAAACCGAAGCATGTTATGCAGGGCAGAGGGTTCTTAGGATCCCCTCTGAGTGAAGACAGTGGCCTGGCTTTGTCATCTTCTGAGACTGGGGATGTGTTAGACTGTCAATTCATTTCTGAGGGCAGGCCACTCAGCTGGTCACCATGTCAGAGCACTGGCTACTCTTAGAGAACTCTCCTAGTACAAGTGGGGCAATTGGAGCCCTGAGCAGCCCCTGGGGGACACACTGAGTAGTGGCGGAGTTCTTTCTTCTATCACAAGTTGCGAGGCTAGGCTTCTGTGAAACCTGGATTGATGGAAACATTTGGGGACAGGACCCCAGGGTTGGA